GGGAGAAGCCAAGACCTGGAAAATAATTGAACAGAAAGTCTTGCCAGGCAATGTATCAAGTCTGGAGAAGGGCAAGCCAGTACCATAGCTTCAGGCAGCAAAGTGAAGTTTAAATGGCCCTAGAAAAGAAGTGGATAAATATGGTGGGCCTGGGTAGGTGAATGTGGACAAGAGTCTGGGAAGACATGACTGGTAAAAAGTAACAGAAGCCAGCAAGTAAAACAAGGGTTCTCAAACCTGCTTGTACATTACAGTTAGGGCATTAAAAAAATTACCGATACCAAGGCCCCACCTCAGACCAATTCAATCAGTGTTTGGGGGAAGAGAGTTTGAGATGTCAATTATATTTATAGATGTTTCCCAAATGTTTCTTATGTGCAACTGTCTTCATAGGTCCATAAAGTCAAGGAGGAATAAATAGGGCAATTAGAACAAAACTGAAATAAGCTGCTGTCTGAGATTAGGGGCTAGTTGTCCTCTGCCCTGGAGTTTTGCTACCTGTCCTTTTCAGGGATGTGTGCAGGTTGCTGGTGGCTGGCGTAGATGCCAGGAGCTTGAGGCTGGGTTTTACTTACAGGGGAAGGCAAAGCTGGGCAGGCAGGGGCTCACTTCTTACTAGTGGCCAATGACTGAGCTTTGCCTTTAAACTTCCAGAAAGGCCTCAAATTACCTTCTGATGAAGAGGAATCACTTAGGAATAAAAATAATATTAAGTTTTATGGGCAATTAAAATTTAGTTCATATTTTATATGTATAGGAAAGAGAAGGATGCCATTCTGTCAAACTGTATATCTTGGGGAAAGTGCACAATTTTCTCCACAGGTAGCTGCTAAAAGCAGCTTGTTATCTCAATGCCCAAGGAAGGATGATGAACAGGCCAGAAGGGTGACTCCTTTTCAGAGGGTCATCTCCTATCTGCCCTTTCCAGTGTGGAAACATTCCTGAGAAAACATTCCTTTTTAGCAGAAAGGGAATATGCGTGAAAGCATTCTTTGTCTGCAGATTCCTGGGACATTTTCAAAGGGATTGAGTAAGTGACTGGTGAGAATCTACTCCGTTTTCATTTGTCTCTGGCAGGGCCTGGTAGCAATTTAATATTCTTTATTATTATTTTCCATGCAACTTCCTTCCTAGCTTATGATTCCTGTCAGGACTGTGTATTATTACACATTAGTCATTTTTCTTGGGTTGGTCTATAATGCTTCAAAGGAGGGCTGGCGTGTTTCAGTAATTTTGCTCACAATTTGATTTGCATTTTCTAGAATCCCAATTTAGTTTCATCAGCACATTTCCACATACAACAGCTGGGCCCCTGGATGGGATCATTTACATATATTATATTAGCAGCCGAAAGGTAGGCACCAGCGACCAAAGCTGGCCTGACACTTTCTCAGCACCTCCACTGACATTTTTGGAAGTAAACTCTGCCTCCCTATTGTAACTATGTCAGTGACAATATTCTGTGGAAGACTTACAAAAAACTGTTGATCTCCAGGCAACTTTTAAGCTATAGCTTTGATGGAAGGCATTGAAGGATAACCAGAGAATATGTTCTGTCCTACTTCAGGGTCTGGAAAGAATTTCAACTCCTCCTACTACATATATCTTTATTATTAGATAAATGGCAGAGGAATCAGCTTCTCAATTGGTTGATGATTGCCTGAAGGAAGATAATCTATTAATCCATAAACATCACTGTGACTAAGACCCCTGAATGACTCTCCAAACAGCTGCCATCACACACCTGGGATTTGAGTAAGTGTTGTGCAAGGCTCAGAAAGCTCATGTTTCTTATCACCATTTTCTTTACTTACAATTAAATTCTTGAACTATGGTCTTGGTCTGTACAGTAAACTAAAAATGCCTCCCCACCTTCCCTCAGAGATATCTGCATACTGATTATGGAAATCTGTACTTGTGAAAAAGATTTATTTGCAGATGGTGATTGAGTGAAGCATTTTGAGATGAGATTATCTTGGATCATGTCAGAGGTCCCTGAATGCCATTACGACCGTCATTAAAAGAGAGGCAGAGAGGATTTGAACACAGAGAGAAGAGGAGTAAACCATGCCACCACAGAGGCAAAAGTTGGAGAGATGGCCACAAGTCAGATGTGGCCACAAGTTGGAGAGATGTGGCACAAGGAATGGTGCAGCCACCAGAAGCTAGAAGAGACAAGGACAGGATTTTCTTCTATACCTTCTGGAGGGAATGTGGTTTTGCCAACACCTTAATTTCAGCCCAGTGAAACTAATTTTGGACATCTGGCTGTTGGACTGTGAGAGAATAAATTTCTGTTTTTTTAAGCTACCATGATTGTGGTAATTTGTTATGAAACTGTTTTAGGAAACTAATATAGTCTGAAGAGTCTATCCCATGGATCTTGGACAGGTTGCTTATTTATTCTAGTATATCAAAGCCAGTGATTTTCTTTTCTGGAAATAAATTATTAATTTATTTGATATTTTTCATTTGGTATCTCATTTATCACCCATTTGTTCTACTGAATCCTTTCTGTTTAGGCAGATGATCTGCTGAAGAGATCTCCAGATATGGGACAAAACATTTGTGAACAAGTAACCTAGAAGACTCAGTGTTCCAGGAAAGAGAGTTAACATTCTCTGCTATATATTGAACATTTATCATTTCACTGTTTTACATTCCACTCCAGTTTCTATGAGATAGACAGATCCACTGTATTTTATCAGTATAGAATAGTTTTGTATAAGATACCATACAATTGGAATTACGCTCAACGATTTTCAGACTTCACCTTTACTTCCTCTGCTGTTATTTGACCATGATTCACTGCACCGGCTTAGGAGTTATAGGACACTATAGTATAGGTGTCACTGAGGGTAATGTGGGTCCTTGGGGGACCTATTTCTATACAAGTTGTGATACCCAGTGAAATGTTTCAAGAAAAGTTAATGGATTTTTGGTTTTAGTTAAAGGTCCTAGAAATGGATGAAACAAACTGCTAGAGATTTAAAAAAAAATGCTCTTCATAAAAGCACTTCATGAATTTTTCTATTAAAAACCTGAGAAACATAATTCTTTTTATAATCATTGACCCCCTCATATGACAATAAATGCTTCCTGAAGGGGATAGAATATAATCAAGTTGGAAAACTAAATGGCTTCTTTTAGCAAAGAATTTCAATACATGCTATATGCGCTGTGTTTGTGGAAAAGTATCAAGAAGCAAGTATTTTTTTTGAAAACATAATTTTACAACAAAATTATAAAGTAAATTTTTAGTTAAATGTAAATGATTCTGTTTTCCCAAGTGCCTTACCGATGGAAACAGGAGAACTCTTCAAAATAGGTTTGAGTCATTTGTACAGGAAATCTATATTTAAAGCTTAATTTTGTTTGTGGGTGTAAAAGAGCAAATTTTGCCACCCCAAGATATGCCTCTTTGGCATATTGACTGTTCTAAGCTGGTTATTTTTAAGAAACTGCAGAGGCAAGAGAAACTGAAAACTGGGTAGCAGTTAATTGGTAGTAAGATACATTTACATTCGTAAGAGAAATCTCCAATCCTAAGAGTTTCTTCCTCAGTATCAGGAAGAAGAGGACACTCTTAAGTCATTAGAAATTTATCAACAGACAAGTTGTGGGCTTAACTATGCATAACAACCTTACCTGGCTTTACTGTGCTTTTCCTCATAAGCTTCCATAACTTCAGCCGTTTCAGTGAGTTACTCAGTTTTCCTTGGTCTCTGTCATGTATATAGGAGGTATATGTGTTATTAGACTTTGATTTTTTTTCTGTTTTTCTGTCTTCTGTCAATTTGATTCTTAGACCAGCTAGAAGAATGTTGAAAGGTAAAGTTATAAATTCTTTTCTCCTCTACATGGGCAAGTACTTACTTGTTTACAGTTTTCATAATGCTCTCTGTCCCTTCCACAATTCATTCCAGGAACTGCGGTAGATACTGATTGGGGTAAATAAGACCATGTCTTTATTATCAAATGTTTTATTATAGGCTTTATGAATTTTCAGAGATACAAAGCAATTGTGATGAGCAAGGTGGGCCTGAGATCAGATTGAGTGGGGACAAGCTTTACTGTTTTCTGTTTACTTCAGAATTAATCCCCAATATTTCTAACAAAGCCCAAGAATAAGTTAAATTTCACAATGTTGGGAGATGGGTTATACATATATAATTCTTATTTGTAAAATAAACCTTTGATAATGAAAATGCTGAAGAACAATTATAGGCTTTGCTCTGAAGGGTCAGTCTGAGAATTAACCAGAGAGATGGCATATGAATTATGGATTCTCTTGTCTAGTGAAATGTCTTTTATCACAATTCCCTGAGAAAATTTATATTGTGCATATTGAAGAGAATGAGAACTAATTTAATTATCCAGTCTGTTGTTTGTTTGTTTTCTGTCTAAAAGAAAATACCCCCGTTTTCTTGTATAATGAATTCAGTACAATTACCATATGCCCAGTCAAAAATTGTGTCAGAATACCATACTACAGATATGTACTTTATATGATCAGTATTTATAAACAGATGAAAATACAATTTTGTTCATGGACACTAGATTAAAACAAAAAGAATATTTTGCTATTTAAAATGTTCTAATCTATATAGAGAGTGTGTTCTCTTTACCTGAGGCAATACATACTGGCTTACCTATCTTAATATACTGAAAATATAAGAAGGTGTATAGTGAAATAATTTCATGTAAAGTTGAAGTTTGCTAAGCTAAAGTAATTAAATAGTTGATTGGGTTGTGGAAGGAGATTAAAAAAAGAGAAATAGAAAAGTAGTTTCTTCGAATTTGAGGTAAACGGCTATTATGTTCAGGGAAGTAATGTGGGTGCGAGGTCTGTGTGTGGAGGAGAGGGAAAGGAGATTTGGTTGTGGGGAAGGTGAGAATTCACAGGGTTTTAAAAATCAGACTTTAAGTGTTTCCTTGCAACTGTCCAGAGGTCCTGCCTTTGCTACAGGCTGAGTCTTGCTGTTCATTTCTGATTTCAGTTTTGAATTCTTGACATTGGCACCTCCCAGTACCCATACTTTGTCAGAAGTCAAGACTATCTAAGAACCAGGCTGCTGAAGCTGAGATTCTCATCTGATTGTCAGCCACAGAAGGTGTGATAGAGTGAAATATCCAGGATTTCCAGACAAGAGACCTAGTTCTGAATCCTGGCAACTAACACTTATTAAATCTGTACCTTGGTAAGTCATTTATTTTCTTTGTGCTTCAGTTTTCTCACTATAAAATGGGAGGACTTCACAGTTTTGTTTTGACATTTCATAAAATAGCATATGTAAAAGCAGCTAAAAGTGATTTGTAAGTAGTAGGAGCTCAATTTCTTCCTCCACCTTCCCCACCTCCTCCTCCTCTCCTCCTTCTTCTTTTCCTTCTCTTACTCCTCCTCCTCTTCCTCTTCCTCCATTATAAAGAACACCCTGTTCATCCAGTCATCAGAGCACCTCCTCTTGGAGGGTAGATTCCCCAGAGATACTACACTAATATTTTATTATTATTTTAATATTTTATTATTTTGAAATAATAACAAATGAGCAAAAGAATTGTAAAACTTTTGTATGTGCACATGCCTGCATATATTTATCTTTGGGCGGGCACATCTTCTATCTTTTCCTTTCCTCTTTTTTTCCATATTTTTTCTCAGACTGGACTAACCTGGGCTGAGGTTAAAAGACTAGTTTAAGTTTGGATGTTGGCATAAGTCTGAAAACGTGGGCCCCAGAAGTATCAAATTTTGTTTTGGTAGCAACTTTTTGGTACATCTTCATGCATGATCCCCCACTCTTGCTTCTTACCCTTTCCCTTTGTATTTCTAGGGATGACCACCATATTATGCTGCTTGTGGTAGCTGACAAGGCCAAAGATCTCAAAATCCATTTGTCAAGAACTAGGACATGAATTAGATTTTTCCTTAAAAGAGATTTCTCAAGAGGATAGATGGGGATGGGGAAAGGCCTTCTTCAGTTGTTCTCTTCATCCTAAATGCAATCTCTTCCAGGATTTGCAGGTGGAACAAAGGATTTGCAAATATAAGTGACAGATGTGATTTATTTGAGTGGGATAGAATTAAAAAAAAAAAAGAATCAATTGCCAGTTTTTCAAACTCAGTAGATTTCCCACCCAAATCTCGATTTAGGTTGCTCTGAAAATGATCTGGCAACATTCCAACAAAGTAAGTATTGATAGATAATAAATAGCTGCCTTTAGAAAGGCAAGTGATCCCCAGTCTGAACATTCCCTCCTGCCTTGTGTAATTGCCCAGATTGGCTGTTTGGCTCTTGTAGGCATTTGGATTTGCTGCATCCACCCTACATTTAGCATTGCATATCCATTACCACCTCTCCTGGCCACATCTTCCCTCTTCCTGCCCTGGCATCCACCCACACATATATGTTTTTCCAGCAGAGCTCATGAGCTCAGTAAAAACAAGAACTGATCTTCAGAGAAAGAATAGGGTTTACCATGGCAAACCAATGATATTCAAAACTACAAGCCATAATTCCAGAAATACAGTTCTGTTTTTTGTTTCTTTTGAGAAGTGAATATCTTATTTTGGAAGCCAAAACTATAATTAGAATACTACAGTGATAGTAGTTTTATGAAATCAGTTAAAAGGCAGTGGATATGTTAAAGAAAGATTGGATTAAAGGATTGAAAAAGATAAATCAGGCAAATTCTCACCAAAAGAAAGCTTATGCACTTATAATAATTTATAAAAAAAAATAGACTTCAAGGCCAAAAAAACATTAGTAGAGTTAAAGATAAGATGTTTAATTCTCCTGAATGTTGTAACAAATTCGGATGCTCCAAATAACACAGGTTCAAAATATATAAAGCAAAATCTACAGAACTGTGAAGGGAAATAAACAATTCTACAGTGATAGTGGGAGACTTTAACACATCTTTCTCAGTAAGTAATGGAGCTAGTTAACAAGAAAATCAACAAAAATGGGGCACCCGGCTGGCTTAGTCAGTTGAGCATGTGACTCATGATTTTGGAGTCCTGAGTTCAAGCCCCACATGGGATATAGAGCTTATTTAAAAAAAAAAAAAAAAAGGAAATCAATAATGAGAGAAAATTTTGAGCAATATATTAACAGATTTGATCTAATGGTCACATATAGAACATGTAAGAACTACAGATGCATTTCTTTTTAAGAAAGGATGGGTTATTTATAAAAATGAATATATCCTATATCATAATGGAAGTCAAAACAAATTTAAGATAGTAAAATGATAGAGTATGTTTTACCACAAATGCAACTCAGTTAGAAATCACTAACAAAAAGATATCTAGAAAGAAAATATCAGTATATGTGAAAACTAAATAAGAAAGTTCTAAGTAACCCATGGGTCAAAGAAGAAATCATAATATAAATTAGAAGGTTTTTAGAATTACACCTAAATAAAGATACTACCTATAAAAACTTAGTGGGAGCAACCAAAGCTGAAAAAAGGGTAATTTTTAGTTTATATTTTAGAGAATTTAAGCTTATACATTTGAAGATATAGATGAATTCCTAGAAAAATATAACTCCCCAAAACTGACTCAAGAAGAAATAAAAAGCCCTGGTACAAAGAAGATTTCAGAGTCCTGAGTTCAAATTTATCTTCAGGTAAATTTATCAGAAGTTTTACAAACATGGCTATTTCTTCTGTGTAGACTTAGAGAATAGGAAGAGTAATGTCTAGAATAAAATGCTCCTTAGAAGGAATATGAAAAAGATAATCCCATAGAAAAAGAGGCAAAAGATTTGCACATTTTCATAAAAGAGAACTTTCTTTTGTATTTTTATATTTTTAAAATAGCTTTATTGAGGTATAGTTTATGTACCAAGACAAACAACAACAACAACAACAAAAAAATCCCTGAACATATTTAAAGTATACAATTTAATAAGTTAGGAGATTCGCAGACACCTGTGAAACCATCACTACAATCAAAGTAATAAAATATCTACTACCTCCAAAAGCTTCCTCCTTCTGCTTAGCCCTCCCTTTATTTGTGTGTTTGTGTGTAAGAACACTCAGCATGAGACTTATCCTCTTCACAAATTTTTAAATGTATAACATTAATTTGTTAACTATAGTCACTGTTGTTCCATAAATGCCATAAAAAGACTCATAAAAAGATCCTTAATCTTCTCCCCTCCCGACCTTCCCCTCTGTCTTGTCCATCAGTGGTCTTATTCAACAGTGTATTCCCAGAGCATTAGAAAACAGAACAGGATCTGGCTCATAGTAGACTTTCAGTAAATATTTATGTGAACTATAAATAAATATGCACAGTTGAAATCATCCAAGTGGAAGAGAAAGCACAAAGAAAAAGTGAAAGGAATAATAAAGAGGCTAAAGGTGAAAGTCTCCAGAACACTGGCATGCAAGGTACCGTAGAATTCAGGAGAGGGCCTGAAGAGTAGATGGGATGTAGAAGCAAGGCCAGAAAGGGGAGCATAGCAGTGTGATCAGGGCTATCTTTGGCTGCAAGGAACTGAACACCTAAGAGTGGCTTGAATAATAGGCTTTTATAATCTCACATAATAGTCTGGGGGTAGGTAGTTCCAAGGTTAATTAGTACCGTATTTCCTCCATGTCAAAACTCTATATTAGCTTCTGCTAATTCTCCTGGCTTTCCTCTATGGTCACAAAAAAGACCTTCCACAATATCAGATATTAAAAATTATGTCTAAAGATATGAATTGTGCACAGTAGGAGCTTATCCTTAAGTCTCATGGGCCAGAACCAACTCCTAAACCAACTCCTAAACAGCAAAGGGGAAGGAGATTTCCTTGATTGGCTTAAGCCAGTCATTTCCTGGGGCTGGGGAAGAGGCCTGCTGCTCTTGGGCATCCTGCTGTTCTATACCTGAACACAGCTGGCACCTGGGCGTAGGGAAGACAGGCAACAGTGTATCTGCTGCAGGGTTCAAAGAAAGAGGTGCTCAAGGAAGGAGTCAGTTGATTCAATGGCAGCTGAGAGGTCATTCATATAAGGCAAGGATGGAAGATGATTGCTGGATTTGACAATAAAGAGAAGGTTGATGGCAGTGATAACAGTAATTTCTGTGGGGCAGAGGAGGAAGTTGGGGGGTGGGGGCTACCAGGTTATGGTGAGTTAAAGAGTAAATGGGAAACAGAGGGTGAAGGTAGGAAGGGAAGGCAGTGTGTTTGAGGGTCTGATCTGTGAGGGAGATGAGAGATCCTGAGGCTGGCCTGGTCCTCTGTCCTGTCCCTGATCCATTATACTCCCCAGCCAGGGCCAAATCAGCTGGGACATTCTCTGCTGGTGTATTTCAGAACTTTTTGAATAATTCCCAGAACTGATAATATTAGTTTACTACTTGTTCCTCTGACCATTCTAGTTACTTTTCTTTGACTCTTTTTAGTTCCCGCATTTCTTTCATGAAATATGGTAATCAGAACTCTACATAGGCTTTTGTTGAATTTAAAAATGGCTTTTCTCATTATAAAAATGTTTTATCACAAAAAACACATAAAACAGAATGATACAGAAGGAAAGTAAAAAAAATATATATATATATATACATATATGTGTGTATATATACATATATAATCCTAACCCAAGAGATACTCAGAGATATTACTGTTTTTCTTTTAGCTTTCCATCTATCATCTATCTATCTATCTATCTATCTATCTATCTATCTATCTATCTATTTTAGGATTGAAGACTTATTATTTGGGAGAGAGAGAGAGCAAGCAGTGGAAGGGCCAGAGGGAGAGAGAGAGAAGTAGACTCCCTGCTGAGTGCAGAGCTGGATGCAGGGCTCCATTTCAGGACCCTGAAATCATGACCCCAGCCAAAATCAAGAGTCATCTGCCCAATCAACCGAGCCACCCTGGAGCTCCCATCTACATATATATTTATTTTACACAGTGAAATAGTGTATTTTTGGTCTTATGATCTGCTTTTTTTATATATATTATATTGTGAGTTTCTCATTAAATGTCCTTGATGAATACACATTTTTGGCTAAAACATACGTATGGGGCACCTGGATGGCTCAGTTGGTTAAGCATCTGCCTTAGGCTCAGGTCATGATCCCAGGTCCTGGGATGGAGCCCCACATCAGGCTCCCTGCTCAGAGCCTGCTTCTCCCTCTGGCTGCCACTCTGCCTACTTGTGCTCTCTCTGTCAAATAAATGAATAAATAAAGTCTCTTAAA